GTGGTTTTTGTTAAGATGAGTGCCTTTTTTCACAAATCCAAGTTTAGATTTGCATTACCAGTGTCGGAGCGAGTCCACCAAGTGTGCTTGTGGCTCAACAACCACCGGTGACGACGGATGATTCTATAGGTGTCAGCGTAGATCTACTGTGATGTAGGCTCTCCCTCATGAGACGAAGCCTATAACCTTGTTGCTGGCGTTGAGGCGAGCAAATAGTCTAACATGCACTTCATTTGGTAATACATATTTAGCATCAGATACAATTTCAAATCAAAATCAAAGCAATAGTCTAATGAGCTTAAGGGATTGCCTGATAATTTTTTACCACTTGAGTCTACTCTTTCTCCATGAAAAAGAAACGAAAAAAAAAATCAATTTATGACAAAATGAGCATCTTACAGTACCCTAAAGCTCGTTTCTCATATTTAATTTTCTTTTAACTTTAATAGTAACCAGTTCAACTGCCGTTGAAAATAATAGAAACATTATGCAATTTGGTACTGTTTCAAGAGCTATGAAATTTGTTTTCTCCATTTAGAAAAGAATTAGGATGATATATGACAGTTAACCTTACAAATTTACAACTATTGTCTATATTTGAATGATTATGAAGGGTGATTTGACAGTAGAGACCAAAAATTTATGATAAAGTTTTGTGCATTGTAGCATCCAGATGTTAAACATAAGAATACAAGCAAGAGGAAGGGTAGCAGAGAGAAAGAGCAATATAGTTGTTCTGTATGTTATTGAGGAGAAGAAACCAACACTTTACTTCAAGTTCCAAATTCTAAGCAACATCAGTGGGCATCATTAAAATAAAGAAAACAACTTACATTCTCTTAAACTGCTCTTCCATTGGTTTGGAATATGAAAGTTGCTGAGTTTTTGAGCCATAATAACCAAGTTCTCGTGCAGGTGGTCTAACTGCCTGCAGATGAACAAAGGAATTCATTTAGATCATCAAGCTAGATTTACAAGAGTAAAAGAATTAATCAGAAATTGTGTAGCTATGATCATAAATGAACACTAACTCGGCCTATACTGCAAGATGATAAAAAGGAAGTCAAAAGGAATTGAAGTACTAGCTCATGAGCAGAATTAAGAAGCACAGTACCTTTGTCACACCATAGTATGTCAAATTTTGATTTTTCATCGGAGATTGTTGTACTGAATTACTTTGATAAGTATATCTTCTGTTTAATTCATTGATCCTTTGTTGCACCTGTGGCTTCAAATCCTCTAGCTCAGTCAAGGCATTCACTAATCTCTACAAAAAAGAATTTGAAATCAAATTTCACATCAAACCTTTAGAATAGTAAGCAGAGGCGGGGGAGGGGGGAGAGAGGGAGATATTACCTTTTTGAAGTAAACCTTTTGGTTTCGTAGAGACGCCCCATAGTCTCGATGGCATGGTATTGTTTCAGAAGCCAAACTGAAGGAAGAAAGACAGCAAGATAGGAAACAAGTACCTTTATATTAAGTTCAAAAGAATATTAAGAAATTCATTTAAAAAGATGAAGTGCCTTTTCTGACCTTGAAAACCTTAGAAGCATGATGTATAGATCTATAATATTCTTCTCAGCTCGAAAGATATCAGCCTAGAGAGCAGTGAGTACATCAGAAAAAGACAGATCATTCAAACCAAGAAGTTAGTTTATTCGCAATATCAAACAGCCGGCAGTATTAAAGCATGAGCATAGCCGAATATTTAACATAATATAAGTGAGAATCTAAGGGAGTAACCAGTATCAGTAATGCATTATACCCAAAAGAATGCACTATAATAAAGCCATCAACATTCTAAATTCAAAAATAATCCTCTGCACAAGTGCAAAATAATTCATTTCTCAAGTCAAAATACACTTCAGCAAATTTTTCCACAAATAAAAGAACTTGCCTACTTTTTAACACTCATTTCACTCCGAAGAATTCCTTATCTGTTATTTTTAAAAATAATTGCCAATATCCCTCACTAACTATAACCTAAAAAAATATCTAAATGGAGATTATTCATAGCTTTGACAATAGTGACAACAACAAACTTATCATGAAAATATATATTTCTCACTGATGCACAAAATTTACAACAGAAAGGAAAAAAAATCCATATTTGAACTTTTTTTTGTATGGTTCATGTCCGTTTTACGGTCCATGTTCCGGATTCCTGGTTACCCCTCCCAACAATGTCATCTCCAAGGTTTGGACCTGGGTCTCTCTTTGGGAGTGCAATGTGCCTTGCCATATTTGAACCTTAGTTTGAAATGCAGGGTTACAACAGAACTATACCAGAATGAGTACCTTGGGATCAATTGTATACCGTCAAACTACAAACACCTAGTCGAACTCCTATACAATGTTACCATCAATGCTAACCAGACTCGGGATTGATTTGGATACAATGTTTATGTTTTTCCATATATTTGGTGAATTGTGTATATTCATGTCCAAACATATATCAAATACAAGTACAGGGTATGAGTAATTTAGAGAAAATGAAGAATCCAAGTAACATAAGTTACCATTATCCTTTATAAATGACAGCATTAGAATACATCAAATTTTCCATCCCAATGGCAGTTACATTATAAATCAGCTTTCTCCAATTTAGTCCTCCATGTGGTTATCACTTTCACCATATGTTTTTCCGGTTCCAAATAGTTTAGGAGTTCATTTGCATACAAGAAAATACTTTTGGCAATTCAAAAAAATTAAATTATTCACATTTATCAAAAAAGAAAAAGAAAAAAAGAATTAAAATTATATTCTTTTTAGAGAAAGTTTATGTTCAAATTGGGTTCGCATTTTAGTTAATTCTTCTGTTGCCGGCTATCATTCATATTCTTCTTAAGGCTTAAATTACTTGCATCAACAAGAAAGCCACAAGTCCCTATTCTCGAACAACCCATGATGATTCATTTCCTCTTTAGTTTACCCATCTTCTGGGCAGAATGCAGCAGGATAAAATGTCATCAATAATCCAACAGATATCTGAGTTCTTGTCGTAAACTCATGAGTGGACTCTTGCAGTGAGACATTATATTAGCTTAGTTCCCCTCTCCGCTTTCAAGGTATTTCTGTTTTCTACAATAAATGGTCGTAAATGCCAAATACCTGAATCACCAGGAATCTCTCTATGGGTAGACATACTAATGAACTTTACATGGGATATACTTAACTAGAATATGAACATTTCATACTTTCCCAAGCTGTGTATGCCCTGAAACCCTAACTATACAAAGGCTACTATGTTCTCAGATTCAGATCAGTCATTTCCCTTTCCGATATCCACTACTTCAAATTACTAATGATTACACTTCTGTGTTATTTTCTTCTAATGTTTGGCAACTATTGGGGGGGGAAGCAGAGAGCAAAATGTAAGTGACAAATGCAACCTCCAAACGAGATTTAAGTCACCTTAATCAACTAAACATACCAAACTTACAGATCACAAACAGCACAATATATTTATATATAACAACTAATTAATTTAAAGGGGAAAATAAATAAATTTAATAAGAAAAATAAACCTGTTTGAGAATATTGTCGGAGATCCGGTAGTAATACGGGAGAGAGATCCGGTTATCAACCTCGAGTTTTCGTGCGCTCGCCGCTATGTTTATTCTCTCCGTCGAAGACCTCATAACTTCTTTCCCTTCAATTTGTCCCTCCTTTTTCTTTTCTGTATAGATATAAGTTGGTAGGATTGGCGGATTCCGATCAGCTAACCGTAAGGTATGAGAAATATCGTCATCGGCGGAGTATTGGGCGAGAAGGTAGGGACATTGTTGCAAAGAGAAGACTCGTTTATGGGCAATTATGGAAATGTTGAAACTCTTTATTTCGACATGTTTAACAAAAGAAAATCTACAGTAAAATATTTTTTTAGTCACTACTTATTATTTAGTTTCTGTTTTGATCACCTACTTATTATTATTTCTCAAATTATATATTTTTTAATAGTTTCAAATCATATTTAATGTTGTGTTTTTATTCTATTTTAGTCATCTATTATTAAAAAGATAACAGTGATATTGAAATGGTATTTTTATTATTTTTTAATATTGGCATGATATTATTTTATGGTAACATGTTAATATTATTGTTAATTTTTTAACAATATGGGATCAAAATATAATATTAAATGTATTTTTTTTAAAATAATAAGTGAATGATCAAAATGCATAATTTATCCCTCTTTTTCTGTTGTTTGGCCGCATGGTTTTAGTCCGGATTAACATGATGTTTGCAAGTCGTTTTTGGGGTTGACTGGGTCAAGTTTTGCGGGTATACTATTACTTGGGAAAATTACTTCATATACAATTGGATTTTATCAGTCGACTTATTTATACCATTGAACTTTCAATTTTATCAATTATAACATTAAATTTTAGTTTTACATTCAATTATGTCACTCCATTGTTAAGTCACTAACATGACGATGGCATAATTAACGGTTGTTGTCATGGCATGTTACCCTAGGGGTGTTTTGATTTTGCCACTAAACTTTTAAGCAATTTACTTTTTTGGCATTACACTTTTCGGTTGTCGTCGAAAACCAATCACTGCCCATCATCGATCATCTTTCGCAGCAAAAATATTACCAAAATGTTCGCATTTTCACTCCTCATTCTTCTCACATTATTAGTTTTTCGCGAAACTCACTCAAAATCGACAAAATCAAACAAAAAATATATCATCCTTTAGATGTTTGGAGACTTTCTTATATTTACTGGATTTACGATGTTTGTTCGATCTTAACAGTGAAAAGTATTATTTCGTGAAGACGAACAACATACCTCAAAACTAGCCTCATCGAACGATCATTGAAAGGGACCGAAGTATTGATACGTCAAACTTTTAAATGAGTTTCCATCGCTTTTAAGTGGATTTCGTGAAAATCCAATCATAGGAGAAGAAAGATTAATGAAATACAAACATTTTAGTATCGATCTTGCTGCAATGATAGACGATGGGCGGTGTTTGGCCGCCGCCAGCGGCCAAAAAGATCAGTGTTAATAAAGAAAAATGTTTAAAAATTCAGTGGTAAAATCGATACATCTCTAAAGTTTAGTATATAAAACAACGTCATTTTAGGCATCAGAACAGTTGCACCAAAACACCGTTTTAGTATGATAGACCAATTCAACAACCATTAGGCATGTCACTGTGTCGTTACTAACTTAATAACATAGTGATAATTGAATGTGAAATTAATGTTCAATATTATGATTGGAAAAATTAAAAATTTAGTGTTAAAAACGAGTCATTAGATAAAGTTTGATAGCATCTGAAGTAGTTTTCCCTTGCTATTAATAGTGTTTTTACCGAGTTTGAACTAGTGAAATTAATCATTAACTGGGGTTAAAAGAAAATTAATATATTATTTAATTTCCTTCTTTGTTTATCAACTTGAATAGTATATTTTTTTATTTTTTAATTGTTTTATTCATTTTTTGTATAATGACTCAATTGGGTTTTCTGCATTGTATTTTGGACCAACAAATTATTTTCCTTTTTCACTTTTTATCCTTTTACAAAAATATATAAATTTCAAAATAATAATTTATGTTATACCGAAAGCATTTTTTTTTGCAACTAATTAAGAAATCATACACGTTTATTAGTTGTATAAAAAAGTTTTAATTTACTTTATTCCTTTATATATATAAAACTTTAAATAATAGTTATTTATATACTAATTTAAATTATTTTTTTTAATTTATTAGATTATATACCTTAACATTAATTTTATAAAACAAAATATATTTTTCTTCTTTCTTTTCTCTTTCTATGAATAAAATTACTAAATAGAAATAAATATATATTTTATTTATATTCTCATTTCATTTAATTCGAAAGTCTTAGACATGTTATGTAAATATTTTCTAACATATAATCTTTTTGAGTAATCTGGGTAAGTATGAGATAATATACGTTCAAATAATTTTGGACATTCATGGTGCTCGAATTCAAGACTTAAGGAGTGACAAAAATTTATGGTGATCGAATTGAGTTTTAGATACAATTATTTTTAATTTAATTTTTTTCAATAATTTGATTTAAATTATTATTTTAATAATAAAATTCATTGACTTGATTTGAAAATACAATATTAATATTAAATATTATTGATATTTGATTACTTTTTAAATATAAAATTAGGGTTTCTATTGTTTTTACTTGTGTAAAACAAAATAGATTTCTCTACTGAACCTGAACTGTACCACACTTGATTGAACTAAATCAAAAAGATTGAGTGGTGAGAAACTCTCTGGGGCACCAATTTCAGTACAGGAAGTCCAAGTCTATAACAGCCTTGACTTTTATAGAAATCAATGAAAGGCCGTGGAGAAATTGGTGACAATAATTAAAACCCTTTTAAGTAATGGAAAAATATTGGGTAAAGTACTCAAATGATCCCTCTACTATAAGATATTATTTTATTGAGTCTTATAACTATTAAAAATTATAAAATGATCCCCAACTATAGGAAGTTGCTTTGTTGAGTCATATACTATTAAAAGTTATAAAATAGTCGCACGACTATTCATTATGTTTCAAACTTGTAATTTTTCGTTAAAAATTTAACGATAGTATGAGCTGGACGATAATATGCTGACTGAGATATGGTAATCGTTTGAGATTATGAGATCATGTTTTATCATATCTCAGTCAGTATGTTAATGTCCAACTCAGACTGTCGTTAATTTTTTAACGAAAAATAACAAATTTGGAACATAATGAATAATTGAGTGATCTTTTTGTAACTTTAATAGTCAAGGACTCAACAATCCTATAGTAGGGGGGTCATTTTATAACTTTTAATAATTGGAGGACTCAACAAAGTAGTATCCTATAGCCAAGGACCATTTGTGTATTTTACCCAAAATATTTACATCTCATTTGCATTTTACTTTTTATATTATGAGATCTATAGAGATAATAACATTCTAAAATATTTATTTATTGTATCTATTAACATTGATCAACTATGATTATTAATTAAAAAATGGGTTCATGAGACGATGATAAGTAACACGCTATAGAACAACACATCAATAAACAGTAAAATCATTAAAATCGTAAAAAAAAATTATCGGTTCAAATGATTACAATATAATATCTATTTATAATTAAAATTATAAAATTAAGATGATAACATATATTATTATTTTACTAATGAAAATTAAAGTGACAAAGAATATGATAAAAAAATCAAACGTGAGACTTGGAAGTACAGGTGCTCTTAACCATCGGTCAAGTTCAATATTTGATTTATGATAAAATTATATATTATATATATATATATATTATATATAAAAGTTAAACTGTAGTTAATGCAATATATTTTTCAACATAAGAATGCATTTAAAGATGTTCTAACAGATTTTAGGAAATTCTTACCTAGAATATAGGTGTAATTACAACACTTAACCGCCAAAACGAGCTCAATATATTTAATAGTTGAAAAAATATATATTTAGATTAAACTATGCTTGTAATAAGATTTATATATATATATTAAAATTATATTTAATATTTTTACTTTAAACTAATTAATAATTGTAATCCTTCCAATTAAACCTAAATATTTTATTAAAAATTTAAATTTATTAAATTGTTTTTAATTAGAATTATGATCAATTTGATATAATATATAAATAATAAAGATTAAATTCATTATTATATAAATTTATTTAACTATTACATGTCCAATTAATAACTAATGATCGGTAACTTAATTGAAATAAAATAAAACATATATAATAATTTGATTAATAAAACATCTTATTTCATTATAAAAATAGAATCAACAATACAAGAACTTACTTCCAAAAAAAAGAGTAATTTTTATTGTGCGACAATCTAACTTAAAATTGATTTGTGACAACTTTTAACATAAAATGTTATTATTTCCGACTTAAAATTATACAATTAATAAAAATTTTGATTACAACCAAGAAACTTATATTGTGACTAGTTTAAACTTAAAATATTATATGTACATTCTATAAAGTTACACAATTTGTAAGAATTTCAATTACAACCAAGAATATATTGACAATAACTTTTTAAGTTACAATCAGAATAGTTATATAATTCATATGATTTGTTACTAAAAACATAATATATTCGATTTTAACCTAAAAAGTATAATATTTAACTTAAATATTATATTATTAATATATTTTCAACTAATTTTATTATTTTCCAAAAATAAAAATCGTTGCAAAGAAAATAGAACCCTTCATTCATTTGGGATAAACGAGAAAGTCTCATGTGCGACAGTTTTAATATACAGCTAAGGAAAGATGCTATCGGTTTTGTTATTATTTTTTTAATAAAATTGGTAAAAAAATACCGGAAACATTATTATTTCTATCATTTTGTTATTATTGAGCGTTTTACCGATATTGTTAACATATTCGGTAAAGCGTTACCTAAAATATTATTTTTTTCTACCGGTTTTATTATTATTGAGCATTTTACCAGAAATATTAAAAATATTAATGTTTTAGGTAGAAATAATAATATTTTAGATAAATTTTTATTAGTTTTATTAAAAAAATAACAAAACCGATAGCACATTATTTTAACCGTATATTAAGGCTTGTCGTATAGTAGAAATTATCATGATCAGCAGACAATTCAAACGACATTCAGGTGGTGTTTGTTTTTGCATAGGTAAAATGTCTGCAGTCTGCGGACTACATCTGTAGCAGAAGAGGTGGACCAAAAGTCTGCAGTCTGCAAGAAAAGACTGTTTATTTTTTAACGTCTGCTGCTAAAATAAAATAATTTTTTAAACTATACTCAAATAATCATTTTTGCTATTAATTTTTTAAAAATTATAAAATGTCATTAAATTTAATGAATTATTACAAAATAGTCACTATAATGTTGTAATAAATTATAAAAGTTTGATAATAAAATAATTATTTTATAGTATTTAGATAAATTTATTAATAATTTTATAATCTTTTAATAAATTTAATAAGTATTTTATAATTTTTTTTAAATTTTATTGACGAAAATGATCATTTTTATATAATTAAACGATATCTAATATACTTTATTTGAAAAAATATATTAAATAAATATTATACGAATTTTATTATTATAAATTATTATATCTACGGACTATTAGATTTTGGTTTTAATATTATATATCATTTTAAAAATTATTATTAAATCAATCGATAATGAAATCAATTTGATTTTAATTAAATCTGTTTGTTTCGGTTTAAGTAATTGTTAAAAAAATTATATTTTAATTCTCAATTATTATCGATTAACAAATATATCAATATTCGATTTTATAATATCATTTAAATCATCTTAATTTATTCGAGTGGTACAATCCGATTCTAGTAACATCAAAAAATATATATAATATATACTCCATAGAATATACATTAATTAGTAATTTTCTATTTAGAAAAAATATATTATTATTTTTTATTTATTTATTATGTATAAAGAGACTTTCGTACTTTACCAGAATTAAATGATAAGAATCAGATTTTTCAATAGTGTGAATATTTTTTATTAAAACATTTATTTTATCTTTTAATACTAATAATTGTATGTTTCCGTGATTTTCTAAGTTTTTATATATAAAAAAAGTTTACTAAGTTTAATTGTATAAATTTTTTTTACTAAGTTTAATATATTTTTTCAAATAAAGTATATTAGATATCGTTGAGTTATATACAAATGATCATTTTCGTCAATAAAGTTTAAAAAAATATAAAATACTTATTAAATTTATTAAAAGATTATAAAATTATTAATAAATTTATCTAAATACTATAAAATAATTATTATATTATCGAACTTTTATAATTTATTACAACATTATAGTGATTATTTTGTAATAATTCATTAAATTTAATGACATTTTATAATTTTTTAAAAATTAATAGAAAAAATGGTTCTTTGAAGATGTTAGAAGAACTTTGAAGACATAAGTTCACGTATGCGTCAATAAGAGGACGCGTAGACGTTAGAATAATTTATATCTTTTAAAAAATAAACGGTCTGCGAAACTAAATGTCTACTCGTGATCTACGCGATACAAACATAAAAACTTTAAAGATCTTAAAACAAACCCCGCCTCAATGATTCGTTTGTTTGATGAGTGGAAAAGTCATACAATTTCCGTCTTTAAATTGCCAGCCAAGTCAATGCTCTTTACCAAACAACAACGCGGCAGAAAACTTCTATTTCTTCTTCATGCTCGCTTCCTTCTTCATGGGATTCTTGGCTAAACTCTTTGCTTGCATTGATAAACGCTTCAAAGCGGCTCGAGGTGGCTCCGCCGCTGAAGGCGGATCCGACGACGGATCGGACACTCAAGGCCTTTTTTTCGAACTTCGTGCTCTCCAGATTGCTACTAACTACTTCTCTGAACTTAATCGCCTCGGTCATGGTGGTTTTGGTCCCGTCTACAAGGTACGTTTCTCTTCATCTCATTTTTTTTCCTTCTTTTGACTTAGTTCGCTGAATTTTTATTTTTTTATGGCCGTTGCGAATTATAATATTTTTTCTAGTGAATATTTATTATTATTTTCAGATACTTGTCACTGTTGCTATTGTTTATTAGGCTAAAAAGTAGCTTCAATTCAAGTTTATTTAATTATAAATGCCTTTTATTTTGAAACTTATGAATATACTAATAAATCAGTCGTGGGGAAATAAATAAATAATTGCAAATTGCACAGATTTGGCTTCTTTTGCTTGTGTTTTACACCAACCCAGCACCATAGTAATTTAGAGCAAATAGAGTAATATTGTTGTAAGACTGAGTCAAAAGCATTTGATGATACAATGTCTATAGGCTTCCAAGTTCCAATCATATGCCAAGGGCTCATTAATTATAAAAAGTTTAGTGCACAAATTTGCATTGAGTTGTTTGTTAGAATTACTGTAATCACAAAGGCTATTTCTATCTTTTTTTTCCCTTTCCGAATCTGAGATTTGAGCATTTGTTTGTTGAGAAAGATCAAAGATGTAGCCCTAGTATCTCTTTATGTAACAAGGTTTTTGATAGTGTAAGAGAGCTTTTAAGGAGCTTCTGGTGGCCACAAATCCTTGATCTTCATAGCTATCGCGCAGGGTAAAACTCAGACAATACCTCATGCGTTACCCACCCAACTAAATGCTCTCATACTGGGAATTTTCTTAGGCTTCTGCCACTTATATGACATTCCAATGTACAATGAGCAGTCAATTATTTGTGTCCATGACTTCGTGAAGATTGGAATTTGAACCTAATCATAAGCATGTGATCTTTGTTGGAAAAATATAACTACTGCAAAACAAATATTAACATTAACTAGAAAAGTAATGAGAAATAAATTAAAACAAAGTTTAACTATGTCATGGTATGAATCACTGCCTTAGAAGTAAATCCTTCTTGATTGATGTAATCGTTGAAATTGACGTCGCTCCCAAGTCCTTTATTTGTACACCCAAATATCAAAGTGAAAAACAATTGATACTACTCTTCTCAAAAAGATGGAATTGAGGTCGAAAATATACTGGTGGAATTGTGTCTAAAAGAAACACACATGAATCGAATTGGACCAAGCCGAGCGGTTACTACTTACTCCAGGATTCTTTGCATTACCAACAATCTTTATGCCACATATATTTAGTGGGAGCTTGAGCTTATGGTCTAGAATAGAATGAAACTAAATTAGAGCAAATCGTGTTTTTGCAATCCAATGAAGATGTTAATCTTGAATGTATTACTGCATCCATCTATTGCTGTTTACTTCTTTTTATCTAATGGTCCCTCGTTGCTTTTGTGTGCAACTTTATTCTGATTCATTGACGGAATGTTATGTTGTGTGTGGGAAGCTCTATACTACAATGCCACTTTAGTTGTTTTCCTATTATCTTACCTGTTTACTCTCTTGAACTGTCATCAATCCAACAATGTCCCCTAAATCTTCAAAGAGACAATATAGTTAAAGATAATAACTTTAGTTAGCCCTTCCTTTATGGTTTCATCCTTATGAATTATGATGTATTCAGTCAAAGAGCTCTAGTTTTTATATTTGGTTATTGTCTGTGCTATCTTACTTTGTTTGCTTGGGTTGAGAAGGAATGTTAATGATTGGAAACTGTTGTGAATTATTCTCATTTCAGCTTATATCATCTTCCAGGGTTTGATGCCAAATGGTCAGGAAATAGCTGTCAAAAAACTTGCATTGGATTCGAGACAGGGACTGAAAGAATTCATTAATGAGGTTAAACTTTTACTGAAAACCCAGCACAAGAACTTAGTGATGTTGTTGGGGTGCTGTGCCGAAGGACCCGAGAAGATGCTTGTTTATGAGTATTTGCCAAATAAAAGCCTTGATTATTTTCTCTTCAGTAAGAACCCTTTTATACGTGGCATTCACTTCTTTTACTAAGTAAGCTTATGAGCTCCAAGTCTTATCATTTGTTTGGTAAATTAAGACTCATAATTGCAACTAAACGTCTCAGATAAGAGCAAGTCTCCTTCTTTGGATTGGGCAACACGATTTAAGATTATTTCTGGCATTGCAAGAGGTCTTCTATACCTGCACGAGGAGGCGCCTGAAAGGATCATCCATATAGACATCAAAACCAGTAATATACTGTTGGATCAACAATTAAACCCCAAAATCTCTGATTTTGGCTTGGCAAGGCTCTTTCCCGGGGATGACACTCATGTAAATACCTTTAGGATTTCTGGCACTCAGTGAGTAGTTTATTTGCTTCTTACCCGTCATATTCTTATATAACTGTAATTGCATCTGTAAGTTTATTAGGTTAATTTTCTTTCAAGTTTTATCTGCTCCAATTTTGTTGTTGGCTAAGAAAGATTAACATAAGTAAACCCTTCTATTGCATGCAGTGGTTACATGGCACCTGAATATGCCATGCATGGGTATTTGTCTGTGAAGACGGATGTTTTCAGCTATGGAGTTGTGGTTTTGGAGATAGTAAGTGGGAGAAAAAATCATGATAACCGTCTTGGTCCAGAGAAGGCAGACCTCTTGAATTATGTAAGTTAAATTTGTAGGGAAAAAAAAAGAAGTGATGTAAATTCTCAAATCTTGTTAAATAGTGCTAGATTTCTGTTGCCAGATGGGCAGGTGGCCTTACACTTATAGGAACATTAGTTTAATGCTATAATAAATAATCCCAAAGTAATTTGGAATTTTTAATATGCAGAATTGAAGATAAACATAACTGCATGTTTAAGCTAGCTGCTTAGATAATTTTTATCAGCATGCATTAGGGATTATTTTGAACTATAGCATAACAACCTACGCTTGTGCCATTAGCGTCATAAACCTATGTTACTCGGACTCATTTGAGTGTTAGATATCAATAGTAGGGGTGAGCAACGAAATCGAGAAAATCGAAAAACCGACACGAATCGAGTAAAACAGTTCGGTTCGGTTCGGCTTTAAACGGTTCGATTTTCGGTTCGGTTTAAAGGCTTCATTTTTTTAATTCGGTTCGGTTCGGGTTTTCCATATGGAACCTATTTGTTCCATATTGAACCGAATAGGCAATTTTTGTAAAAAAAAATATAGTTTCAAGTGATTTTTTAATTGAAAAACCGAAAAACCGAACCGAACCGAAAAATCCAAACCGTTAAAAAACCCGAACCGAACCGAAAAAACCGGTTTCGGTTTTTTCGGTCGGTTTCGGTTTCGGTTTAAATATTGAAAAACCGTTTATTTCGGTTTGGTTCAATTTTTGGTAAAAAATCAAACCGAACCGAACCGAATACACCCCTAATCAATAGGCGTCTTGCGCCTACGGCCTGCTCGGATATCTAGTTTTAAGCTTAAGATTTTGCTATAATACAGATGAGCTATAAATTATGTTGCTCAGACTATTAGTGCCCCTGTCCGACATTCGTATCTGACAAATGGATATAGAGATATGGAAAAAGCATAGAGATAGTTATCCGTACCCGATACAAACTTGTGTTTGAGTGTCGAATTCTGACAATATTTCTAGCTCTTCTTATACAGTCATGGCTACTATTCCAAGGACGAAAGTCATTGGATTTAGTTGATCCCTCCCTTGAGGAATACAATCCTGACGAGGCAGCAATGTGCATTCAGCTGGGCTTGTTATGCTGTCAACAGACTGTTGCCGAGAGGCCAGACATGAACTCAGTCCATCTCATGCTATCGAGCGATTCGTTCACTTTGCCGAGGCCACATAAACCCGCAGTCCAAGGCCGTGTAGGACAGTGGACGATCACGTCCACGTCGGCTTTTACTAATACTAATGCAAGCAGCACCCATACAGGTGTCACAAAGGCATCAGCAGGAAGTAGTTTTGTAGAAGATTATTCAAGGAATTCCATGTCATATTCTTCCATTGATGAAGGGAGATGAGCCACTATTAGTTCACTGTAATTATTATTTTAGTAAAGATCTTCTGTAAAGCTGATGATCTCATTTGTAAAGATCTTATTTGTTTTAACGTGAAATTCTCCATTCATAACATTTTCTTGAATAAAGTGAATATCGAATTCTATGTTTCATGCAAGCATGTAGAACTGGATTTGCAGCAATGGCAACAGAACTCGAATTATCACACCAAACAACTGGTAAGGCATCTAACTTGATTCCTACTTCAGTTAGTAACGATTTGAACCATACAGGTTCACTGGTAGAGTTTGCAAGGCTGCGAATAAGCCTCCGAAGTTGATCTAGATACAACACTGCTTTTTTAGAAGACCATGCTACTAAGAAATTATTTTTGAGAAATATATAGTAGCCACAATCGAACGTCGGTCCTCAACCGAGCTAGCCCAGTTAGCTGATCCTGACGCGGCAAACCAAATACTCCAAACCAGCTGATCCTGACGCTGCAAACAACTGTTCAAAAGAAGCCAGCAAACTCTGATGGAAAATACGATAACCAGCAAGCCTCCAAACCTCTTTCGCTCACATTCAACCTGCAAACACATTATCAAAATCTTCAACAAGACCATAAACTTCACAGCAGGGATCAATATCGCACCCTTTCTCAAGTAATCAAGCATCCACCAAAACCTTCATCCAATCTTGACGCAAAGTTCTCACTTCAAAAATCTTCTAGCCCAGATGAACTTCGATGAACCAAATAGAACCACCGTCGTC